AGCAACACACCGCGAGCAAATCAACCAGACAACGAGCGTCGCAATCAAGCCCTTCACCGACTTGATCAACTCCGTAAGATGGGCGATAACAAGGAAGAACGTGAGAAGGACGCGGATGCCATGTTGTGGTACTTGCTCAAACCGGTTCGGGCAAACTTTGAGGCAATTCTTGTCACGACGAAGGAGAGGATCAAGTCCAGCAAGGAACGCGCCAAGATATTTGGAGAAGAGTTGGTTGTCATTGGCAACTTCCTGGATCGCGAATTCGTTCAGGAGCGAGACAATGCGCTGAAGAATCGCTTCTGGTAAGTTTTCTCCGCCGGCTATTTCACATCTCATACAGATCTAACATTTGCTCAGGGAGTTTTTGGCGAACCTGTGGCCAGTTGACAGCACGAGCAACGAAGTAACGGGCGATCGGCTGAGCGCCATGTATAGAGTCCTGCGGGACAGAGAAGTGAAGAAGCACAACGGAGACAAACCGGCCGCGGCGGCGGCAAATGGCACTGCAGCGGCTTCTTAGGACTCGCATTCATAAAAGTACGGACTGGAGGACGGGTTTTCATTTGCGCATATCCATCCAGTCACGATTTGTGTTTAATATCAGCATCGGCATGGCGTTCTCGGTACTAGGTGGGCAGGGCATTTTCATCGTGGGTGAGGGAATGATCAGATAAACTACATACCCGGACTTGCATGGTACAGGACGGACTCGTTTTTGGAGTTTTGCGAAAACAACATCATGTCTCACCTCATGCTTTTTTTGAGATTTTTTAGTGAGGCGAGGACAGACAAGCCGGGCCCTGTTCTGGTCGCTGCCTTCCATGGAGGCAGGCGTGCGAGCGAGCAAGCCTTGCTGGCTGGCTGGCTGTAGGCTGGTCACATGACGTTGGCCTCGTTTAGGTGCGAGCATGCGTAGCCTTGTTGGTCGCGGCGGCGGCGTGGCAGACTGGAGATGGGGCTTTGTACCCATGCTGGTAGTCATACCTACGGACGCTCGGTCGCATCAGCAGGAGATACGGATCTGAGTCCGATATATCTAGCGTATAGGGATGGACGGATGGAACTCCCATGCCCTGATTAGAATATTCTACCAAAGTAGTAGACAGGTATTACTGCAATGAGCAAGAAAGCCTTTATGAATGCAGTTCATCTTGGTGGTCCAGAACGTGTTGGCCCTAATTAGCGGACCGGAGTGTAGGCCCGAGTGTGTGTGTGTGTGTGTGTGTGTTTGTGTTTACGTTCTATTTTACCTCCCTACATTGCTGTAGCACACCTGGTTGTACCTTATACAGAATGAACAACAAGAAAACTGTGGTAGGACAACGGCCTGCATTGATATCTTCCTTCAACACATTTGTAAAGCGTGATGCCCGGAGTCTCAGTGGTCTTGCGCCATAGAACTTGTCTCCCCTTGGTCCTCGGGCCTACTAATTGCCTACCTCTGATACAGAACGGTAGGGCACGATCTCGGGTGCTTGGTTAGCGGGCACGGCGGTCATCACACTATCAGGCAGCACGAAACAACGTCGCTGGAAACTGGAGGTGGTCACAGAAGCCTATAGTAGAAAGGTAATACCAGAATAAAGGTATTCCGTGCGAAAAGTGGTATATTAACGATCATGTTCGTCCCATGGCGGACTCGGCGGGCCGCCTCTATCCCACTACCTTGTTCATCTCGCAGTGTGTCCAGTGCAGACTTTTTCTCAGCGTCTGCCTGCCCAAATGAAGCCCTCGCTTGTGGAGCCCACACATGGCAGCCTGCGTCAAAGAGCCTTTGAGCTCTGTGGCCGCTGCTTTATACAAGTGGGCAGGTACTCTGTATGTACAAGATAAAGCGATGCGAGACGTATTCCATACCAACTCCGTTTCGTGAATAAGACAAATCTCCGTGGACTGTCACCTGTCTAGCCCGAACTCTTCGGTGCCAACAGGTTGACGTCTTCTATGAATATAAAAAAGCAAAATGCAATCGATGTCAAGTGATCATGTAATCGATAACGCTTCCACGATTATCCTTAGTCCATCAAGGCTTCCATGCCTCGAGGAATCGACTCAGGGGATATCGTGTCGGCCGACTTGCGTCGGATATGCATAGGCGTCATTGGGCGTACATCGCTGCTGTCTCCAGTGTTTGGTGAAGACTTTGGCCGTTCAGCGAGTGAAGGCCTCGACATCTTCTCGAACGGTCGCGCGGGTGATGAAACATTCTCCTGCTGTGCCTCCTCGTCGGTGTTCTCGGCACGCTTGTAGACGAAACTTTGTATAGGCTTTTGAGCCGGTCGCAATGGTGGAAGCTGAGACTGAAGCTTGTCTTCAACATATTTGAGGTAGTGCTGGCTGTCCAGTTTGCCAGCCAAGGTCTCTTGAGGCATATCGGCGAGTTCGCGGTTCTTCTGCGTCTTGAAGGTCTGTGCAACGCTGTTCTTGGGGGGCATCGTTGCCTTCTTGTTGTCCTTCCGGGGCTTCTTCGCGGACGGCTTCTTGACCTTCTTGGCTGTTGCGTCGCTTCCGGGAGTAGCAGCTTGCTGGCCACCAAACGAAAGCTTGCTTTGCTTCGCCTTGGTACTCTTCTTCGCAGCCTCGACAGCCTTGATCTTCGGGCTGGCTGTGGGTGTTGGGATGCTCTGGACAGGGTCGACGAGCTTCCGCTTCTTTGAATCCGACGTAGTGGTCGAAGTAGACTTGGTCGGTGAATCGGGCGTCGGCGAAATGAGCTGCACCTCGAGGTTATCCCTGCTAAGTCTGTCCTGGCGCCTCTGCTCCTCTCCCTCACTGAGATAGGCCGACTGGTCGCCATGGGGTACGTCGAAACGGGGTAGAGCAGCCCAGTGAGCCACGTCATCGCACTTGCCGCGAACGACAAGGTCCCAGCAGTCTTTGAAGTCGTTGTGTTGTGGCTCCGAGTCCGTGTTGATCCATGCAGTAAATCCGTCTCGGCGACTACGCGTGACCTGACACAGCTCCTTCACGAGCCTCCGCACGCCTGGAATTTTGAGGCTGGTGCCAACAACAATGACCGCGTCGGGACGCGACTTCAGGTCCACACTCGACACTTTACCAATGGCCTCTTCGTCCGGATTGAATTCATTGTAAAGAACCATCCTGGGACGCAGGCGACCAATACCGTGACTTCGTCTTTGGCCATACTGCGTGCGAACCATGTCAAGGTCCTCGCAAGTTTTGCATAGTGGAGCCTCGTGGCCCACGAAAAGCTCTGTTTCCAGAGCCTTGATGTCACTGCACTTTGAGCAGACCATGTGGTCAACGCTCCCGTGCAGCTGAATGGTTTTGGGCCAAGGACCCTTGACGTTCAGGGGAACGTTCGTCTTCAACGGTTCCATGTTGGTGTCGATACAGTCGACGTTCTGGCTGTAGAGGCGTAGGAGACGGTTTTCGGCGGCGAGCGATGCTAACAGGTGATGGAAGTGAGTGGGCTTGGCGGCCTTGACCATTGTAGCCAGGTCGCAAATCATTTTGTGGAATTTTTCGGTAGAGGAGTCATGTTTGTAGACTGAGGCGTCGAACAGGTGCTTGCCTGAGCCTTTCACCTTGTGCTCATTTGGCAGTGTCGCAAAGAGACCAGTCTTGGATCGAAAGTCGGGGATGCCGGCCGAAACAGAGATTCCCGCGCCTGCGATGACGACGATCTTTTTGCGTTTCTTGAGAGCGGACACTAGGCGCGCCAAGTTTCCGTCGTCTTCTTTGCAGTCTTCCAGGTTGAGGTACTCTGTAGTGCGCTCTTTAGGAGGCGTGACTTTACGCCGCTTTCGGGGAGGCTGGCCATCAGTAGCATCGCTGGCATTGACATTGATGGAATCGGCAGCGCTATCGAGCTTGATGACGGGTACGGTGTCATCTGCGGCCTCGAGCTTGATTGGTGACTGGGCGCCTGAAGGCATTGAAGAGGTGGGCGAGGGGTATCGTTTTGACGCGTCGAGGGCGACTTCTGGCGATGAGGGTATTGAGGGTGATTTTGACAGTACGGAAAGAGGTGACGAAAGGGTCGAATCTGAGGGAGACGAGGGCTGTTGATGCGCGTCAACGTCCATGGCCGAGGAGGAAGGGGTTGCGTCCATTTTGATGTCGTCGTCGTTGGTGTCGTCGGTGGTGGTCGGGGACGGAGGGGAGAAAGAAGAAAAGATCCGGGACAAGATTTGCGGGAACATGGGCAGCGTTTTCTATACCATATCCATTGTTCAACGATTTCCAGGAGTGTGGGCTTCTTTCTCCGGGGGTGGGTTGAAAGGGTTTTCGTTGTTGTCGGGAAAGTAAGAAGAAGTGTCGTTGAAGAAAGACAAAGTGTGGAGAGCGGACGGGCGAGGGTACCTTAACAAGTACATAGCCGTAGCGGCTGCAAGCAAACGTACATGGATGATGGGGCACGGAGGGAGAAGGGGGCACGGGGGGACGGATGGGAGGAGAGAGAGGGGAGCGGACGTGACTTGGAACACGGTCAAGCGAGAGGCGGGACCTAGAGCTGGGCTTAAAGTGCCGTCAACACAGGTCAGGAAAAGACCGAACAGCGGTGGCAGCAGATCAAATCCAGTCAGGGCCCGGCGCGGCAGAAGGGTACGGACGGGTGGGTTGGCACTTTATTACGGTATGACCTAAGGCAAGGCAAGGTAATTTAAGGTGAGAGAGAGAGACGAGACAGGGGAAGAAAGACGGGAGGGAAAGGGCACGAAGAAAAGAGGGAGACGGATGGGCACACGGGGAACACACCGTACGGGAGGCAGAAAGGGTAAGGAACGGTGCGGTGGCTAGTGCTTTGCTGTTGTTGAAGTCTGCGTTCGGTGCGCACGCGCTTCTTTCTGTTTTGGTTCCGGTCTCCAAAGAGTCGCTTAATTTCCCATTGGGTCCGGTCGAAAAGTCGACGGGAGTTGGGTGAGCATTGCGCTCCCATCTGCTCCTGCTCGCTCCTGATCCCGAAGAGTTGTTGCTCCTAACACTTTACTCCACATGATGTACTTTTCCGCATTCATGTGCCCTCGAGGTACATGGACATGACCCATGCACTCCGGCCTCCCTCCGGCCTCCTCCACCCCCTCTCGTTGTTGTCGTTCGTTCCCCTCTTCTTCGGCTCACTTTATCATGTGGGTGGTCAAAATCTGACAAGAAGCACGATTGATACAATTTTAATTTTTTTTCATTTGTACTCCTTTTGATCGCATGTTCGTCATGCCTGCTTAATCCATCGCACCCAAGGGCGCTTGTGGAATTTTGCCTGGACACTGGCATCACTATCCGCAGTATAATCCGGCAAAGTTGAGGGAACGGTAATAGATGGAGACAGTTCCAAAGGAAGGGCTTTGCTCCCCTGCCAGTCTGCTCGCCCGTTTCTTTCTCTTGTCTTTGGGGCATGACGAGGATGACGCCGGCCAACCCCGCTGTTTGTTCTTCCTTTTTGAGAAAAATGACTCGGCTGTTGTATTTTACTTTGTTGCCTTATCCCACAGAAAGGGCTTCTTTTGGAGATGCATCTTCGGGCAAGGCAATGTCCACCTAGCCACTACTAAATTCAGTCTGAAGGGTCACAAAGCCTCGTTCAAGTCAAATACCAGCACGCTGCGTGCTCTCATTATTTCATCGTTCATCACCAAAATTCGATTGTATCAAGCTTACGGCGGTTGTCCGTGGTATACGGGCACGAGTTGCCTGTCGGTGCAGCGGTGAGTTGCAGTAACCTAAGTAGGTAAGGTACCTTGCTCGTCGTGCCTGCCTCACCTACACAGATGCACCCCAAGATACCTCATTCGACTCATGGGCTACGCGTGGCCGGAATGTATCCGCGCCCGACAGTGATGGAAATACTCCGCAGCAGCGTCTTTTGCTACAGCGAGAATCTTCACCTCCTCGAATAATGGGTAAGTGGTCGGTAATAACTCTCATTTCGCCTCGCGAAGAGAGTTGGCGAAACCGACGTCATTTTGCAGATGTCCGAGACCCAGGCAAACGAACACAAATCCAATCTTGACGACAGGCTCGGAGAGTTTAAATGGAAGCAAACATCCATCGCCGATTGGCGCCTTAAATGAAAATTACTTACTTCGTATGTGCCTGACGTACGAAGTACTCGAATGGACAATGCTGTTGTGTTTTCATCCTGTCGCGGCCACCGACGTGCAAGGCGGTCGGCTGAAACGCGGCCGAGTCGCGGGGGCCAAAAAAGCGACAAGAGCACGACACCAGTGCATCTGCACCCACAGGGCGGGCGAGCCGGACGGGGTGGACGCCCGTTGCCCGGGAACACTGACCTCGTCTCTGCCCTGTACGCCTGTCCACGTCTGTCCGTCCTTTGGCAGCCACCCCTGTCACGATCGAAGAGGGGCCCGGCCCTTCTCACCCTGCAGGGATCATTGGATGGACGTCACGGGTTCCAACTTCCCCACAGCGTTTGATAATGGGGTGCGACCTGCAGTTCAAAGATGCTGGAGTTGGGGTCGTAGCACCAGCCACATCCATTAGCCACAAGCACCGTTTCCTACTCCCAAGGTTCCTGCCTTATTGATGGATATCTGAATAGGCCTAACTTGGACTAGCTTCATGTGAAGTTTCCCCACTCCTCCTTACCTCTTCTCGCGTGTGCGTGCGTGAGGTGAACTTGAGGCTGAGGCAAGGTGTGGCCTGGCGGACTTTGTCTCTGCACTCCATTGGCCCCAGTCCGCCTCTCAAGAGCCGCGATCCACCTAACGATAACTATCGACTTACGGAGGACGGATACATGCATTTTGCTCCAATCTCCATTCAGCCACATCTGGGAGTACCATTTGTCAAGCCCCAAAGTCATCAATGCAGTACAACAGCAATTCGTAGATTTGTTAATCTCATTGAGGGGGTCACGTATCCTACTGTGTGTAACGGCAACTTTTGCTTCTTCTGGCTCTTAAAATGAGCTTCTGCCGGCCTCCTGATCTCTCACCTTAAGACACCACTCCAGCCGCGTCCTGTCTCCGTGGCTGACACCCTGAGTGTTGTTTGCGCGCCAGCCCAATATTTCGGCACCAACACGCACGCACACATGACCGAAGAAAAGATGCCGCTCATGCTCGAAAACGGCATGAATGGGGCCATGCAGGTCGACCAGCTCGACGTCGACGACCTCTTTGGCGACGGCGTTGGCGGCCTGTCTCTTCATACGGCCCGCCCTCCAACGAAACAACTGCGCCAAAGGATCGATGAGCTGCGCACCCGCGGCTGTTGCCAGTGAGAACCATCCCACAACCATGCACAATGTATCCCAGATCTCACAATTCTTGTAGGGGAGTCGCATGGTCCAGATCCGGCGCAATAGCCTCAGTTTCACCAGACGGAAAGACACTGGAAGCCAGGTTCCTGCGTTCGCATCCTGACAATGGCGACTGGGGTCTCAGTGAGCCTACAAAAGTTGATCTCATCAGCATCAATCCTTCAAGCCCCATAATACACCTCGCCTGGGCCTCAACAGCAAGCCCTGAACTAGCCGTCATCGACGCGACTGGCCGAGTTGCCATTCTGACCTATTCCATCACTCTGAACCGGCCCTTCGCAACACGGAAATGGGATCATGACCCTTCCGACGACCTCCATGCCATTGTCGGAAGCTACTGGCTACCACTTGCTCCTCAAAGCAAACAGGTGAGCATCAAGCCCTCCCGAGACCCTTCTACCTAGCTGATCGGTCAGTACTGGGTGAGCCACGGACCGGCTGTGAAAGATGGCAACCAATATAGGTACGAAAGCTCCTTCGTACGTGCCGGGGGCCCGTGGCACCCGAATCCATCCAAGAGTGCTCTGTTGTGTGTGACGACAAACGGGCATCTGAAGATGTTTTGGGCTCAGAACAACAATAAGATCGAAGAAACCTCACTTGAGCTCGAGAGTGTCAACTCATCCGACGACTTGATCACACATGCAGCACTTCACAGTGACAAGGGCAAGTAGTGAAACCCGCACATATGTTCACATGTGACTGACAGAGAGTAGGCTACCTGTGGATTGCCCTGGCCACCACCAACAAGCAAATACGAGTAGTGAAAGTTGGCATTCATTGGGGACTGCCACAATCTCAATCCGATACCAAGCCACCGCCAGGCAGCCAAGCTCTTAACCCTACCTTGCACGAGAAGCACGTCGCCATCTCTACCTGGCTACCCAGCGGTCCATCCACGACACCGGTAGACTCAGCCGCGACGCAACTGACACACTTGGAGATTTTACCGTCCGTCATGGACCCCAATGGCCAGGGAGCTCCTCTCGTCATCCTCGCAGTTCGTACTTACGTGCCAACACCCAATACCCCATATCAGGAAACGCAAAGTATCATCGACAAGTGGGAGGTTCCTAGCGATCAGCCTCAAAGTCTTCATCCTGCCTTTGAGCAGCTTGGAAGTCGCAGGAATAGTACAGGAACGGCTCCAGCTGTAAGTCACTCGACCTTGAGAAGTCAAGTTCTGGTCTAATATCATCAAAGCCTACTTGTCGACTCAAGAAGTGCGACCCCGTAGTCATCAATAAGGCCGTGATTGGTCTTCATACCATCCAGTACGGCAACGTCGTCTGCTTGGCCTTCAGTGATGGCTCGGTGGAATACCGCGATAGGTATACTCTACAGGAAGTCTACAATGAGATGAATCTCGACAGAGTCATGACATTGGGTCAAGTGGGGTTCACCTTGCAGGATGATTCACCTTGTGAGTCCAAGTAATGCAACTAAACTGCTTGATGGAGCTAACAAGATACTCTAGGCTTACAAATGGCCTTCTCTCCGACCAATTGTTCTGTAGTCAAGGTGCAAGACGACGGCAAGGTCAAGTGGAGTAGACTTCACCATCCTCTGGGAGACATAGGAAACTCTAACCAAGATGGTATTTTGCAAAACAACCCCTATGTGTCCTCTTGCCCTTGACTAATATAGATGTAGCACCGTATGCGGCCACCTTGGCAGCTCTGACTGTGGCGGCGTCGACGGCGACGTTCAATAACATCAACTACGACGACATACTGGCCGTCGCTCGACCCTTTGCGAATAAGAAGCGTGCGTTGTTTCCCGTCGCCGTTCCGAATCCCTCACTAACACTTTCAGGCTTCACGTTTGACTGGATCAATGAGATCGTGCGGATGCTCAAGGTCCCGGTGGACTACTCAGAAGACACCCACCACGACAGTCTTGTACGGAACAGTTCGCTACAAATGTGCCTGAGCATCCTCAACCACCTCGGATACAAGGGCATGTTCCAGCCCCGGACCTTTGGCGGCAAGTTCGCCATGCTGGCCCTCAACGCACGCAACGTCGTCATCCTCATCACGATCGCGAGCAATACTCCCGTCAACATCCGCGAGAAGCTCAGCCCGCTCGACGAGCACGAGGTCGTTGACGCCCTCGCGGGCTGCGCAAAGTGGTCCCTCGACCTACTCGCCTGGCTCACCGACTCGCTCTTCGCCCTCCTCGACGACCCGCAGTTCCTCGCCCTCCTCACCCCGCAGCGCTTCTCCGAGATGAGCGCCTACCTGCAGTCCCGCTCTGACGTCTCCCTCCACCTCCTCCTGTGCTCCTCCACCCGCGGCTTCCTCTCCGCCGTCTGCCGCCGCATCCTCCACCTCGAGATCCTCTCCAACCGCGCCATCGAGTTCTACGAGCGCCGCGCCGCGATGCAGAATGCCACGGACCCGTCCTCCCAGGCAAAGGGCCTCCACGTCGTCCTCTATAAGGCCTACCAGAAGATGCAGCGCGTCACCTCGAGCAGCCTGATTAAAGTGCAGGAGTTCGACCGCCTCCTGACCGTCCTCAACAACGACATTCGCACCGCGTACCAGACCTCCCTCGCCTCCCTCGCGAGCAAGAACCCGCCCGGCGCCGGCGCAGCCGCGCAAAAGGCCGTCGACGCGCAGATCAAGACCGCCCAGATGCACTGCGAGCTCAACATGCTCCTCGCGTCGTCGCCGCCGCCCGCCTTCCTCGGCGTGCTGCTCAAGTTCTTCAACACGGACCTCCGGGCCTACCGCGGCCTGGCCGACCCGTCCAAGCTCTTCTTTGCAGACTACGACCTCCTCGAGGTGGACGACGATCGCCGGACGCTTGCGGCGCGCAAGGCCAAGAGCCGGTTCATTGACGTGTTCAAACGCGTTGAGCTGGTCGGCCCGCCTCCCAGTTCTCGTGCTGGAGGCAGCGGCGGCAGTGGTGCCGCTG